CATCGACTCCAAAAGGTAGAAATTTCTCACAAGTGCCCACAATTTTATCATTTTACAAAGTGCATTCAGGCCAGAGGTCTCAGTCAGTAAACATGGCATGTCTCACTACCATGCACACATCCTGATGCTCAGTGAGAGGATGGCTTCTCTTGAGGTAGCACAGGCAGGACAGGATCAGAGTCTTCTTGAGGGTTGCCCAGTGGTTAAGGGCACAAGCACTGAAATTCCAGCTCAGCCTCCTCCTAGTTGTGTGATATTGTGCAGGTCACCTACCTTCTCTGAGCCTTGTTCATACTTGTCAGTATAGCTCTGGTTACTACAAACAGGGGTGGACCCAGGTTTAGTGGGGCCTGATGCAGATATAATTTTGGGGGTCCTCTTTAAGGATACAATATTATAAATTCAAAATTAGATACAGGCCTTGGAAATTGGCCACGCAGGTGAGAAGCCCTGAGGCTTAAACTTTTGGGTGAGCTTCCCTGTAAATCCACCCTGCCTCTGACTCTAGGGCTCCCTCTAGGGGTATAATGTGGATTATTCTTCATCTATACCCATGGAACTCAGCATAGGTCTCTATTAGGTGGTTAGATTTAAACTACCCTACATGTCTCCTCTCAGTCCCAAGGGGCCAGCTGAGCACACTACCACCTGAATAACTCCATTCTAGGCTCTCAACATCTTTATGACTGACCCTCAAAAAGCTCCTCCTGGAGCTTTTCATTCATTCCTTAAGTCTTTCAACACCTCATAGGGAAACCACCGCATGTACTCAGCCCACTTAAAGACGAGCAGGTAGAGGCACAGAGAAGCAGCATAGTTTGGGGCCATGTAGTAAGACGTGCTGGAGTCAGAATTTAAACCCAGGACTCAGGACTTTGTCCCCCAGTTGCTCAGCCAAAACCTTGTAGTTGTCCCTGACACCTCTCACTCCCACACCCTCCAACCTCCTCCAGTAGCTGTGCTGGAGTCAGAATTTAAACCCAGGACTCAGGACTTTGTCCCCCAGTTGCTCAAAACCTTGTAGTTGTCCCTGACACCTCTCACTCCCACACCCTCCAACCTCCTCCAGTAGCAAATTCTGTTGGCTCTCTTCTCAAAATATGTCCACAACACAAACACTTCTCACCACCTCCACTACCAGCACGCTGGTCCAAGCCACAAACAAGGATTTTAGCAAGTCTCCTTACAGGCTTTCCTGCTTCTGATATTGTCCCCAACAGTCTTTTCACAAAGTAGTCAGAGCAACCTTGATAAAATCCATGTCGAATTACATCTCTCCTCTGCTCCAAAGCCCTGCAATGGCTCCATTGTATTCAGAGGGAAAGCTAAGTACTTCTGGTAGCCCACAGCGCCTTATAAGATCTGGTGCCTGCACCCCCAATATCTCTTATCTCCAAAGTCTTCCTATTCTCACTCCTCTCCAGCCACACTGGCTGTTCCACACTGTTCCTCAAACATGCCAAGACATTCGTGCCTCAGGGCCTTTGCACCTGCCATTCCCTCTGCCCAAGACATTCTTCTTAATTGAGCTGCATGTCTCCCTCCCTCACTTCCTCTAGGTCTCACCTGCTCAAGGGTCATCTCTGTGAGGCCTTCTCTGACCACCTTCCAAGAAATAACTATCCCTCCCTTCTTACATGGAATTATTTTTCTCCACTATGTGAACATTTACTTGCTTATCATGTGTCCCTTCCACTAGAATGTAAACTCCACATGGGCAGAGACTTTGTTTTGTTCATTGCTGAATCCCCAGCACCTAGAACAGTCCTTGGCACACAATAGATGCTCAAAGACTACTGATAAGTGGATGGATGGAAGAAATCCCAATCCTGTGACCCTTCCCATACTTGTCACATCCAATAAACAGAACATTGCAAGTGGGTGGAGAAGCCAAGTTCCACAAAACTTGTCTGGTCACTGACCTCAAGAAGTTTATCGAAATTAAACTCTCTATAGTTGATGATAATAATGATTTTTTGATCAGTTAGTATGTGCCAGGCACTATGCTAAACCTCATATCTCATTTAATTCTAACACCAGCCCTATGATGTAGGAGTTGTTTCCCTTATGCTATAGATGAGGGACTGGGGCTCAGAGAGGTAAATGACTTGCCCAGTGAAACACAGGCAGGAAGAGAAGGAAGCAGGTTTGGAGTTCACGCTTGATTTAAAAAAAAAGAATTTTGTTCTCTCTCAACCTATGAAAGGTGGGGGAGGGAGTGCACCCAGGGGCCCACCATCCCACCCTCAGCTGGGCACAGCAGATCTGACCTCTGCTCCTCTCTAGGGCTGCCCAGAAGGCTGCGTTCCACCTCGCTGCTGTGGAGGGGTAGCACCCAGGAGGCCCTGAGCCTACTCAAGGATGACGTGTTGGTGGCAGACCCAGGAACCAGGTGAGGAGACCAGGTGAAGAGTGCACCCTGACACCCAGCCACATGTTAGGCACCTCCTGAGGAGACCCACCCACCTGGGAAAGAGCCGACATTGCTTCATCCTAGATGGTTGGAGTCAGGAGAGACCTCGGGGATCACTGAATAAAAGCCCTACTCCACAGCTGGAAAGATTACAGCCAGGAGTAGGGAGGCCAGTGGGGCAGGGGAGAGCTGGGCCCAGAATCCAGTTCTGCTTGGATCTCCTGTTGTTTTCATTCATCAACTCGACATGTATTGAGCACCTAGTCTGCCCAGAACGTGCTGAACATTGAGATACAGCAGTGAACAAATCTGTCCAGGACCCTTTTTGTGGAGCTTGCATTCTTGTGAGGAAGCCACGGTGAACAAATAAGACAGATTTGCCATGATGGAAATAAATGTGACGCTGATGAGATTGGGCGTGGATAGCTGGGTGGCCCTGAGCAGAGAAGCCGAATTCTGACAGCAGTGGGGCTCTGGAGCTGGACAGAGGACAGCCGGCATGCCTTTGCCTCAGATGTCTCTTTCCAGGCCTCTGGGCAGCGCTCCCTTTCCCAAATTTACTCCTCTGCTTCTCCAAATGCTGAATTTCAGGCCTCACTTCCCTTAAAGAAGAAACGGTTCAGGTGATGCAGAGAAAGGAGATGCTTTCAGTTCTGCCACTAACATGCTGTGTGACCTTGGGTGAGGCACATTACCTCTGTGAACCTCACCTTCCTCAGCTCCAAAAATGAGGCGGTTGAAATTTCTTAGAGTTCAGAAATGCTAGGAGGATTCGTGAATTTTCATCCGTCTTTGTGCCTTCCCAAGGCACTATTTTATTTTATTTTTTGTCCTTTTTGAGACCTGGCCACACCGTGCTCAGCCAGTGAGCGCTGTGAGTGCACCCGTCATCCCTATATGGGATCCGAACCCGCGGCGGGAGCGCTGCTGCGCTCCCCCGCACTCTCCCGAGTGTGCCACGGGCTCGGCCCCCAAGGCACTATTTTAGAGATTCTGAAACTGCATCTACTCTGGGA